GACTTGGCCAGGCACGTCACGCTGGAAGTCTCGCTCACAGTCTCACGGTAAGACACCACGGGGTCGGACACGATGAAGTCGCACTGGGCATACTCGTCCTTCAAGTCCTTCAGGCAAATCTCAACATGCAGCTCGCCGCAGCCTGCGATCACGTGCTCTCCACTCTCCTCCGTAGTGCAAACGACCAGAGGATCAGACTTGGACAGCTTCTTCAGACCTTCGACCAGCTTGGGCAGGTCCTTGCCATCCTTGGCCTTCACGGCAACCTTCACGACAGGAGACACGCTGTACTTCATGTCGGCGATGTTGTGGGAATCCTCCAGGGTGGTAATGGTACCGGACTTCAAGATGTACTGGTCGACACCCACCAGTGCCACCGTGTTGCCGCATGGCACATCCTGGATCTGCTCAGTGGTGCGGCCCATCATCAGCACGGTTCGCTGGATGTTCTTCACGTGCAGGTCCTCCTTGCTGCCTGGCTTGTAGTATGGGCCCTGAATTCGCACCTTCTGGCCCGTGGCGATGGTGCCGGAGAACACGCGGCCGAAGGCGTAGAAGCGGCCCTTGTCCGAGGTAGGCACCATCTTCGAGACGTACATCATCAGAGGGCCTGCTGGGTCGCAGCTGCGGATGCCGTTGGCGGCTGCATCATCCATGGGCCCCTCGTACAAGTTCTCCACTCGGTACTTCTGGGCGGCCCGCGGGGAAGGCAGCTTGGTCACAATCATTGCCAACAGGGTGTCTGCGGCGTTGATCCAGATCTGCATGGTTCGCTTCATCAAGGGCTTTCCCGTCAGGGACTTCTCATCGCCCTTCAGCACAATGCCCAGGGTGCCCATCATCTTCTCGTACTTCTCCTTGTCATCATTCATGATGGCACGCATGAGCTGGTTGATGGGACCCATGATGAACTGGCAGAAGGCACGCTGCAAAGGCTCAGTGCAGCCTTCCGGTTGCTGAACATTGGTCCAGACCTTCTTCTTGGCATTGAAGAAGGAGTCACCCCACATTCGCTGCATCATCTTGTCCTTGTCCATGCCCATCTTCTGCGCATAGATCTTGGCGAAACGCTCCGTGGTGAAGCCCCATCCGTGCAGGCCGCTGCCGAAAGCCACCGTGCCCTTCTCCGGGGTCACCTGCACGTCGCCCATCAGCGCATCGTTGTAGGTCGCGATGATCACGTTCACGTTCTCGATGGCATTTCGGAACCTGGAATACATGTCCTCAGCTTCCATCTGCAACTCCAGGATGCAGCGGTCCACCTTGTTCACGAACAGGCATGGCCTCACACGCTCTTGCAGCGCCTGGCGCAGCACAGTCTCAGTCTGCACGGCGCAGCCCTCGATGCAGTCGACCACCACCATGGCTCCGTCGGTAATTCGGAGAGCAGCGGTCACCTCGGAGGAGAAATCGACGTGCCCAGGAGAATCAATCAAGTTGATCAAGTGAGGGATCGAACCCTTGCCATCCTCCTCATCGTGCTCGAAGTACAGGGACACACCTGTGCTCTTGATGGTCACACCTCGCTCCTGCTCATCTGCTCGGGTGTCCGTGAATCGAGCATCGCCTGCAGCTTTGGCTGAGATGATGCCCGCCTTGCAGATCAGGGAATC